TATATATATATATATATATATATATATATATATATATATATATATATATATATATATATATATATATATATATATATATTTATATATAATTAAATTATAGATAATATATCATATTATTTAATATATCATATTATTATTCAGTACATCAGAGTATTATTTAATCTCTCTCTCTCTCTCTCTCTCTCTCTCTCTCTCTCTCTCTCTCTCTAACAGAACAGGGAATTTTTGACAGTATTCATATTTCTTTTGTTTTTGGCTTAGTCCCTTTATTATTCCGGGGTCGCCACAGCGGAATGAACCGCCAACTTATCCAGCATATATTTTACGCAGCAGATGCTCTTCCAGCTACAACCTATCTCTGGGAAACATCCATACACAGTCAATCACACACATACACTATGGACAATTTAGCTTACCCAATTCACCTGTACCGCATGTCTTTAAACTGTGGGGGAAACCGGAGCACCCGGAGGAAACCCACGCGAACGCAGGGAGAAAAGTGTAAAATCTACAGATGTTTCTGTAAACAGTCACATGTCAGAGTGCTTACTGATGAACGATTATTTAATTTATTTTATTTACATATTGTTATTTTAATTCAATTAGTTTTTCAGTGAGTGCTGATAGTTTTAACTATCAGTTTTAGTTTATCATTTATTGTAAATTGTATGTGTTTAAAAAAAAAGGTTTCCTAAAATAACCTTGACTGGAAGATATCTGAAAGTGTCATTAAATTGAATTAAAGTGTCACATTAAATTAAAGTGATTTTTTCCCTTCAATTGTCTTTTTTCATACATGCACATTAGACTATTTGTAGGTCAAGAATTATGCTTTGAAAAACTGTTCTTTTACTAAAATAGAACTAAGCACAAACCTCAAAACTGAGTGTATATTGTTCTCTAGACAGACCAGGTTAAGCACAGAGTGGCGAATGCATTTTATCTGTACCGTGTGTAGACTGGCTCCATTTCTTTGTATTTCCCAGGTGATCTTCCCTTTGTTTTACTCCATTCTGGCTGAGAGGGCCATCACAGTGCTGGATGATAAAGTGAGCATCACAGATCTGGGAGTTCAGCTGGTGGGCTCCTTGAGTCTCTCACTACAGCCCAGTTCCATCAACAGCAGATCCTTCTACATCACGACTACTGCTCAGGACCTGTTGCACACACCCAAACAGGTAAGAGCCATGAGAACTGACCAATAGAATGACTCATTTACTACCACATATGACTATGAAGAATATGGAAACTGGTATGGGCTTTCACGCATTAGCTATAAACAGTATAGGTTGAAGCTATAGAGAACTGGCTTGAACATTGCAGAAATTAAAGTCGAAGCTACTGTGAATTGGCAGTAACACTCTAAAAGCTAGACTTTACAACTGCAATCTGCTGAAAGGTAGCTATCCAGGAACAGGATTGGTGACCCCTGTTCTTAAATTAGAAGCTAGTCAATTAAACTTAGAAGCTAGACAATTTACACTTTTTTAAATCATCTATAAATGTTGCATTTTATTTTTCCCTGTTATTGTTTTATTTGTTTTACACAGTTATTTTAATTGTTCTGTTCTGAATATCTTTAACATACATACATACATACATACATATATATATATATGTATGTATGTTAAAGATATTCAAAACAAAACAATTAAAATAACAGTGTACAGTATATATGAGCAATGCTCATATATATATGAGCCATATCACATGAGTACATATTAGTGCCGTTATCGGCGTAACCACGAGACTCTTATCGCGCAATAAAAAATAAAAAAACATATCGCCATTAATCTATTCTCAAAGTTGGGTAGGGAGCTGGGTCTTTTCTACGCAGGCTATGATGACCTTCACCTTGATATTTTAGCGTGGATGTATACCTGACCGGTGAGCCGTCTGACAAAAAAGTACCCTTTTGAATCCAATCAGCAGGATGCCTGACTTTAATTGCAGTTTGGCAATTTCACTTTATCTCATGAACATTTCATTCATGCCCCGTGACAAACTGCGGTATAAGACGCAATTAAGGATTAAGGACTGGTGAGAGTGTTACGGAATTTAATAACGCACGCCAAATGAAAAGAAAAAAAAAAACTTCCGCATTTCGTGATGTGTGTGTGTGTGGTCCTTTACTGACAGCAGCGTGTGTGGATCTTGTCGAAAAATATGGCAAAAAGTCCTACATGACGGTGTTTACTGATCGCGGTGGTTACTTTAATAATGCCACTAATATATGCATACTCCACATGTCTTAATTCCATTTCTGTTTAGTTTAGTCATGATTTTAGTTGTATTAAGGTAATCAAAAATCACTGTTTCCAGTTTATGTAGGCATACAGTTCAAAATTCCCATTTAACTGAATAAACAGTTAGTAAACACAAGAACATCATATTAAACATCATTTATTTTCATCACCAATTATCATAGTAGAACAGTTTCTCAATTAGTTTGTGATACATTTTGGAAACAGGAGATGAGCCCCTGGTCTGATGTGCCACCTGGCTTGAGAAACCCATTCTCAAAGACCTATTATTTGGGTAGCACACATATTCTGAATGCCTTCGGCAGAATTCAAATGATATATATATATATATATATATATATATATATATATATATATATATATATATATATATATACTAAATGTGTGTGTGTGTGTGTGTGTGTGTGTGTGTGTGTGTGTATAAACGAGGATTACAATAACTCAACATAATAAGTCATATGTAAAACATTCAAAATACATGAAACGTCGGGTTCAGAAAATAGGAATTATGGCTAAAATATAGAGACTAAAAGGGAAAGGAACAACTATGAAAAAGCCACACCACTTAATTGACCATGCAACATTTTTGTAGACCACACCTAATACGTGTCCACAGTCTGCTCTGCCAACAGTACAGCTACCACTGCAGGAATATTTCCAGTATGCAAACACTTCCTGCAAAATGTTCTGGCCTCTGTTTGCTCTGTTAACCCATGGCCACTCACTAGAGGCACCGGTGCTCATTTTGGCAGGCATTATTATGACGGAGAAGTGAATAGCTGTAATAACCTAGTTCCCCCTACAGTGCTGTTTGGAATCATCTGATTAAAGAATCTAAAATAGCGCCTCTGCTAAAAATCAAAACACTTTCCCTGGCTTCTGCCAACACTTTCCCACGCACAGGGCCCAAGGTTAACTATGAGTGAATGAGAGTGGGTGGGAAAACACTGCAAGAGTCTCATTTGGAGTTGTTGGCAATTACGGATATTAAGGAAGAACGTGGTTTGTCTCATTTGAAGAAGCTGCCAACATCAAGGTGGCCACATAATCTAGAGGTTGTACTTGTACAGTATTTTTGACACTAGCATATTTGATCTTCAGTTTGCATTTTCATTCTCTGGAGCATTTGTGATTAGATCCACACTCTCTGCATCATATATAATTATAATACATATCCTATAATTACAGTACCTTATTCTTTCCTAGCAGAGTATGATAGGTTGTTTTTTTTCCCTTAAATTATATATGACTGCAGTAGATGTTTAGATAAGCTAGATTTAATTTGATATGTTGTGGGCTTCTTGGAAAATTGACACTAGTCTTAAAGGGACAGTTCACTCGAACTTGATAGTGTTTTGTTATTATTGTTAAAATATTTGGTAACACCTTATTTTGATGGTTTATTGGAGTATTAATAGACTGTCTACTTAATATCTGTAGATACTGCTCCTTTAACAGACATTTAACTGACTATAAAAAACTTTGCAACATGTCAGCTTACACTAACTCTAAACCTAACCCCAACCTAACAGTCTACTAATAATCTAATGAGAATTAGTTGGCTTGTAGATGCAATGTAACTTAAATTCAACAAACAGACCATCAAAATAAAGTGTGACCAAATGTTTGAAGAGTATAAATGCTTCCCTATACAGTACATCAGACCTCATTCATGTAACATGATCAGTATACATCTTTGTGATAATAATTAGTAAATCTTTTTTTCTTTTGAAACACAAAAGAGGATATTTAAAAACAAATGTTGCAAAATGGTAGACTTTGATATCCATATTAGAAAAAAAATCCTAAGGAAACCAATGGCTGTTGGTTTGGTTTCTACTATTATGCAAAATATCTTCTTTTGTGTTCATAAAACAGAAACTCATACAAGTTTGGAATAAGCGGAGTGTGAGTTAACAATGAAAGAATTACCAGTTTTGGGTAAACTATCCATAGTAACTTTTTCATCACATTAAGCTATGCTTTTCACTGCATAAGATAGTAGAAATATACTTTTTTTTTCAGCAGAGAGTTATGCCAGGAGATCATACTTCCACCTTGATTTTAAAGCCATTCAAAAAAAAAAAAAAAAAAAAAAAAGACATGCCGCTCCAGTTTTCTTAATTTAGTCTTTTTACTGCAGGACTTTCTGCCAGACATGCTTTTTGTCCTTACAGTCAAGTGAAGTGGATGTGTATTGTTTCAGCATGCTAACTTAATTGCCTTTTTTTACCTTTCAAGTATAAATTGCATAGCCTTGTATAGGTAAATCTTAACTCCTAGTACTCCTGCTGTTATCTTTGACTTCTTTTTCAGAACATGCAAGCTAACCTTGACAGCTTTGCAATTAGATGTTTCAGTCATAAGCAGTTTATGCTTTGATTCACATTTTCAGGGATTTAAAATATTTCAGAAGTGAAGCTCTTATTCTCTGAATGCATATACAGTATATAGAGCGTCACTCTCCAAGGACGATGATGCAGTAACTATAAATATTAAGCAGGAATGTTTCTTAAGGCCAATCTATAGTTCTGTGTCGAGTGTCCATGGAAGGTGCGCAAAAGCCTTTACATAGTCAAATACCCTTTGCATATCTTGACACTAACCTCTCAAAATATGTCACTGCATATCAAGATGGCACAGATCACAAGATGTGATGAATGTTTAACTAGACTTAAGTCCCACAGATTTTTTGTATTTATGTTATGAATAAAGTTGTTGAACGTTCCCACATTTTCTTTTGCTGAATGGGTGTGGTTTTATGTAAATGGCAACCAAATTGTTATGTTACTTGAAGAATACTTTAAAATAAAGTTTCAGTTCTTAATTTTCTCTTTATTTGATTACAGGAAGCCATCATCAGTGCGTGGATACAGTACAGTGATGGCTTTGTGACACCTCTCGACATCTATGACCCCAAAGACTTTACTCTAACCATCACCTCTCTGGATGAAACTGTGGTCTCTACCTATCATGACCCATCACAGCGCTGGCCTGTGGTAGTGGCAGAGGGTGAGGGCCAGGGGGCACTGCTGCGTGTAGAGATGATGATCTCAGAGACCTGCCAGAAATCTAAGAGGAAGAGCATTTTGGCAATGGGTGTAGGAAGCGTACAAGTGAAGTTTGGACAAAATGACCTGGAGCAGAGGAGTGGAACTCGAGAGGAAAACAGTCTGGACAACAGCACAAATGAACAGAGACACAAAGTTCTAGAGTCAGATAAAACAGGAGATAGCTGGAAATACGCAAACACTGCAGTAGAACGGGAAGAGTCGGTCCTCAAGAAAATCAGCACAACTGCAAAGACTACGCTAATTAGTCGTTCTGGAGGCAACAAACAGGGTGGTGGACAAAACAACAATGCTGGGGACTATACCAGTTTCCCAGTGCAGGTGGACCTTCCTGGCGGGGCAGAGAGTGACTTGACCCAAGCTCCAAGAGGTCTGTCAGACCTAGAAATCGGTATGTATGCCCTGCTCGGAGTCTTTTGCCTTGCTATTCTTGTCTTCCTCATCAACTGTGTCAGCTTTGCTTTCCGCTACCGCCACAAACAGCTTCCAGTTCTGGAGCAGGGTAACATGAATCATGCCCATGACTGGGTGTGGCTCGGCAATGAAGCGGACCTGATAGATCATCATGGCGAACACGGGCCTCTAGCACACAGTGAAGAGTGCACGACTGCGATAGATCGCAATGAGGGCTGTGAGGAGAGCAAGTATCTCCTCAACGGGAGTGGTATTCAGAAAAGCGGTTCTTCGCATGGACGTGGCATCCCCCATGTGCACTCCGATCCGCGTTCCTGTTCGGGAAATGACCCTACTGGCAAAGTCGAACCCCTTAACAATTCCCCTAGTGCTGCCAAACGCAAAAGAGTCAAGTTTACTTCCTTTGCTACAGTTTTACCAGACGAAGGTGGGCCGTACACCAACTCAATCCTTATTGGCAATGAAGATGACATTAAGTGGGTCTGTCAAGACATGGACCTGGGACATTCAGCCGAGCTCAGAAGCTACATGGAGAGACTGCAAGACAATCTGTAGGAGCTGAGAAGGAAAAGAAAGAAAGGGAAAGCAAGAGGGCGGACACAAAAACTCACCAGAAATGCCTTTGCACTGTGGGGGGAACGCAGGGAGAGTGGGAGGGAGGAATTATTTAAGTATTGAAAGTGGATGCAAGGAGTCGGAAAGAATAAAATCCATCAGGAGTCCAGAGTCAAGTAGGAAATTCACAGAAAGGGGAAATGGGTGAAGAGAGCCTGGCACGTTTATACTGGCTCTGACGAGCGGTCCAGGTGGCACAGAGAGAGCAGCTGCCAATTGACTAGCGCCGGGGACAGAACGCCAGTTACCGACACCCTGAATACACAAGCCCAAACAAGACCAGTGAGATAGAGAAAGAAAGGAAACAAACTTGACAGCTGTACATAAAATCAACCAACAGGGGTTGTTATCTCTGATGTAATTTATTTTGACTGAAATTATACAAGTCGGAGTTCTGGACAGACTCAACAGGTCTTATTTTATTTTAGATAATACCAGGCTGTTTTCCAGATTAGTTTGTATCCAGACCAAAACAAGCCCTCAAAGCGCCCAGACTGCCCCAGAACCAGGTGCGTGTTTGTTTTTTTACCAGTTATTTTGTACCGTCTGTCTCTCCTGCGTGAATTTCGAGAGAGCTGGGGTAGGTGGACATGTGGGATTCCCCCTGGCTGGAATTGTACCAGCTGTATCTGCACACACACTGTTCAAGGAGTCTATGAAAAACACCAAAACGCAACAGTCCTCCCTCTCCATCTCTCCTTTTGGGAATAAACCCACAAGACATCCATGATGGAAAGCAACATGACAATATAAAGACTCCTCGTACTCCGTCCATTTGATCAAGTGAATGTGGAACAATGGACTGAGGACTTCTTTGGAGCCCCACTGGGAGGTTGTTCATTTGCACAATAAGAATAATACAGAAAGTGCATATACATAGCGGCCCTCAGCTGATCTCAGACCAGCCCGCAAGACTGTCTAAACAGCAACTTATCCAGAAGATGCGATGATGAACATGGGACGGAGAGTGTAAACATACAAGCCCACAAAACTGAGTTGTGTTTGTTATAAAACCATATGATTGCTGTAATAGGAAAATATACAGAGTAGATGGTCTATTACTCTCCAGTATGGTAAATGTATGAATGTTTCTCTTTTTAATCGAGGCGAAATGTACATCATTTGCCCCCTTTTTATGAGAGACGAGCACCTCCCCATGGTTTTTACTTGTCCTATAGGTTAAAGCAACTTTCTATTTCTGCCTCACTAACCCCAGCGTTTACCCAGCTCCTTCAATCTTTGTTGTTTATATTACTGAAGAGTTGTGGGGAAGGACAGATGTGGAAAAAACCTTCCCTTTGAAAGCTCAGGTGAAAATACGCTCACAGATAAACAGTGGTAGAATTGAAATGTAGATTGTAAGAATGCAATATTTATTTGTAAGTGTAATATGAGATAGGATGTAAATAAAAATGATTCAAAATTTCTTGTGGACACTGCAAGAAGGCTGTTGCCTACATTTTCACAATCGACACAGTTGTGTCACGGGGCCATGTAAGTGTTTCATATTCTTTGTTCAAGTCTGATTTCCACTTAAGGAATAAAAAAAATTAGGGTTTAAAATGTTCAGACATGCCGTGGGTTCTGTCAAGACATCAGATTCAAATCTTTTCACTTAATATAATGTTTCTGATTTGTTTTATTTAGAGCTACAGTAGATGTAGGGGAGAGCATGTGTGTGTGCAAATGTGCACATTAATATTTTACTAATGAAAGATTTAACCTCAATATTTTGCATTCATTTTACGCCTTTTAAAACTACCAATGTGCCAGATTCTCAAATGTATAATTTAACAAAAGCTGCACATTTATAAAAATAATTGGTAATAGTAAAATGTATTTTCATCAAATTAGGGATAGATTTATTAGTGAATTTAGTTAGGGTGGGAAGTTGCAGTTTATGATTTGATCTATATAACATGTAGAATACCTACAGTAAATTACATTTTTTAATTAGACTTTAATTTGAACTTTAATATCTCTCTAAGGGGTCGATCACTCAGAACATGCATTTACGTTCCAAAAAATGCAAGGTGCACCACACTGCCTTTTTTTTTTCATTCATTCCTTTTCTTTCAACCCAAGCTCATTCTGAAAACATAGTCCCACGGACGTTTCTGGAGACAGCGGAATACGTCCCGGGAGGTACGTACGGCTGCATTTATTTTTTTCAAGCGAACGCTACGGGGCGGTGTGATGCTGTTCCCTTTCGCGCTTACCTCCGCTTACCTCCTTGTGGAGGGCTTTCCCGCTGTAACCCGTTTGTCTACTCAGCTCACCGTGTACGTCGGCGTCTTGAGATGCAGAGAGGAGTTGACCACGGCGATCGGTTTCGAGTCTGGGGAAGAGAGGTTCCAGCAATCAGGTAAGACAAAAACAGAATCCCAAAAATTAAGTGAACGAGTTCCATAACAGGGTGAGAACGTGGTGAAATCCGAAAACGCGGTAGAAAAAAAAAATCAGGGCTTTTCTTTTTTTGGACGGTTTTTGTAAACTGTTGCTCGGGTTTAGGGACGTGAGCGGGCGGGCGGGTCAATCTGTAAAATTGGTTGGGTTTAGGGAAGGAGGAGGATGGGTCAGCTGATTGGCCTGTCGCGCTATCAATCATCCGGTCAGTCAGACAGCGGCCTCTGGTGGGTTCACGCGAGAACAGCGCGGGTGCGAACTGATTCGCAAAAACAAAAACTGCAGCCGTACGTACCTCCCGGGACGTATTCTGCAGTCTCCATAAACGTCTGCGGGACTACGTTTACAGAATGAGCCTGGGTTGTTTTCTTTTCGACATAGTCTCTTTATTAATCAGGAGTCGCCACAGCGGAATGAACTGCCCACTTATCCAACACATGTTTTCTGCAGCAGATGCCCTTTCAGCCACAACCCAACACTGGGAAACACCCAAACACTCTTCACACACATACACTATACGGCCAATTTAGCTTATTCAGTTTACCTACACAGCATGTCTTTGGACTGTGGGGGAAACCGGAGGAAATCCACACGTACATGGGGAAAACATGCAAACTCACAGAAATGCCAACTGAACCAGCCGAGGCTCGAACCAGCGACTTTCTTGCTGTGAAGTAATCCTGCTATAAACTGCGCCACTGTGTCGCCCACTGCTTTTTTTGCTGACAAGAAAAAAGCACGGTGCGCTTTTTTACGTCACTAGGCAAGGACTGAATCAGCTGCTATGGTGCACTAATGTTGCTGTTAATATTGTTATAATTGTAATATTTAATAATATTGTGATATTCAAGATTTGTAAATTCATGCAGCTCTGGATAACTTGAAACAGCGACAACTAATCTCTCCATCTTTAAAAGTCTCCATAGTTGTCTTGTCACCTCAACGGAAACCCCACCTCTGCTTTCATTTGATTGGTGAATGAAAGACACGACTGACATAACGCACTTTTTTTTGCTCAGAGTTGCACTTATTTTCAGCTGCGAGCACACAGAGCACAACAGCAACAATGCGCAAAACACTCGCGTCTGTTAGTAAACCATTAAAAAGATGAGCCTCTCAATGCAAAAAGCGTGTTCAGTGTTATCAGCCCCTACACACTGAAAAAAATGATGTCTGCAAAACTGTTGCAAACAATTAAAATGTGTTGAGTTTGAACAGACATATTAAATTTTGTAGTAATTTAATGTTCACTTTAATCTGTTTGTTAAAATTTAGCCCAAATAAATTGGTTACAACCACTTAATTTTTTTATTTTTGTTTTGTAAATCCAAGGAATCATATTTGAATATTTTTTCCAGTGTAAAAAACACTTTTGCCATTTTTCAGACACTTATCAATAGTGATCATTTATTACATTATTATTACAAGGTCATTTATCACATAGCACATTTTTGTTGTTTCATGCAACAACAACAAAAAATCTCTAAATGATACAATGTTTATTTAAAAATTGGAACAAATGTCATCAGTATTACAGAATATAAGCAGATTTATACTATAGAAGTACACTTATACTTGCTCTCCCCTACCAAATTAATTTTATTTGTCATAAGCGATGGATGAGTCCATCCATTTTACTTAAATACACACAAAAAAAAAAAAGGACAGCAGTTGATTTAAGGGACGAGTGTGTGTGGTTTGGGTGGTAACTTCATACCAGCAGTCACAGTTTAAGCTATTGAACTCTTTTCTTTTTTCTAAAACATTTGAGCTTCATTTTGTCCAATGTGAAGTGACAGGACTTATTATTTGTTCTGGTTTCCTCATAGGATTGCTTTGACTTTTACCTTATGAAGTTTCATTTCATTCTGGCCTTGACCCATGCTATACAGCAGAGCGACTGTTTTCTTATTAAGTTGCTTGGTTTAAGCACTATCAAGTTTATTGTTAGTGGTGACTGTAAATTATGAAGAAACCATATAACAGAATGTTCGAGAGAGAGAGAGAGAGAGATGTTGAGCTCATGTGTTTGCCAAGGCCATTGCTGACACCTCTTCAACCAGAATAATATACTGGATTGTAACAATAACACTCTTGGTTTGCCATCCACACGAGGCCTTAGATGCAGTGTCACAATGTCTGATGACCTAAGATGGAGAATATGAACTCATCTTCACCCACTTACTGATATTCTGATCTGTTTTTCTAGATAATTTATTCCTAATTACTTATTTTGAGTTCAGCGTTTTCTCATAAACCATGTCGTTTTATGCTATCTGTTTTCATATAAGCATTATCATCTGATAAAACAACTTCGTGTCCATGTATACAAATCTATATTTTCATATAAATACATTTTAGCAACTGAAAACGCCATGATTTTGTACAAATATGCAGAAAGAATGCCAATACACCCCTGCAACGTTCTACGTTCTCATTCTACGGAAGCATCGTCATCCGTTGACGTCCCTTTGCTGGTATTTGTTCAGTATTACCCTCATTGTGTACATGCTTTGTCATTAAAGTTGTTCCCTATTGACATGGATTTAAGTTTCTTTTGTTTTCTTTTAGATTCAGTGTGCTTGATCTGATTTTATTACACATTTAATGATTAGTTAGAATGATAAAATATGTTGGTTACTACAAAAAAATAAAAAAAATAAAAAAATAAATAAATAAAAATTAAATATACTGCATTTATAAAGTACTAATTACTACATACAGAACTAGTTATCCGTGAATCATTCTAAACTCCAGGTAAATATTCTAGGTTACCCTACTTTACACAGCTTGAAGGATTAACAGGTAATATTAAAGTGATTGGCACTGCATTATTTTACTGTGCACATATGGTTAAATGCTCAAAAGCAATGCTAAAACTGCTCTGGAACAATTTTTCATGAAAAAAATCTCTTCATTTACAAGTGTAAATGTTTCCTTGCTCAGAGTTAAAAGTGGGGTTAAGAACTAGTATAATTGGTTTTGCTCTGTGAAAGGCCCTATTGGATGACTTGTGATGTAAACTCAAGAGTATTTTAAAATGTCAGAAACTTGCAGACTCATTCTTCACTTATATTTGAAGTTCCAATGACTGAACCACTTTTCTTTTTACAGCACAGGATGAGAACATTTTATATATCTTGTCAAGAAAAAGTCAGTTTGCAGTATCGTTCTTCCTCTAGCACAAGCCATTCTTTTCCATACTGTACTGCTGCATCAGTTGATCACATGAAGTGTCCAGCATTCTACACATAAGGTACATTTGAAATTAAATTTAGACATCCACCATGTCCCCTTTAACTACCACACCAAAAAAAAAAAAAAATTGGATTGCATTTAGCTCCTAATGTCACTAAAGAACGCACTCAATGCATTTTTTCCAACACATCCCATAATTTCTAAAATATCAACCTAGTAGTGGTACAGGATTGTTTATTTGATTTTTTTTTCATTCTTTAAATGACTTTAACAGTCATTATTTAAAACAGATAAAATATGGTCAGCTATTTGGTAGAGCAGGCAGTTAAAAGGTTCTGTTGCAATGTGGAAGTAAGCTCTTCTCTGCGAATGTGTTGATTCATTTGCTGCTATGGGTAAGTGACAAGGACAGTATCAAGACAATACCAGTTTGCAGGCTGCTTTCCTTAACTAAATGTCCATGAATAAAACTAGAAGTCCCATCACAATTAAATAAATAAATCACCCAAAAATGAAAATTCTGTCATCATTTACTCACATGTGACTTGTTTCAATCTATTTTTTTTCTCTCTTTATTTTCTGTTAAACAGAGAATAAGACTGGAGAATATCATAAAACTTTTTTTGTGTTCTTAGAAAGAAAGAAAGAAAGAAAGAAAGAAAGAAAGAAAGAAAGAAAGAAATGACAATAGAATTAAATTTTAGTGTGAACTATCCCTGTAAGAAACAACAACGCCAGCATTACAAAATAAACTTGACATAGCGTTTGTGGGAAAACAGCATGTTTAATGTCCTGAATGACACATTAACTGTATGCATGCACATTAACTGTGTGTTTAACTGCCCTAAATACAAATTCAAATGTTGTATAGAACCTCTATTCAGTTTAAATATCATAGAGGATATTTTTACTGTGAATTATTGCCACTATTTAAATGGCAGAAATTTACACAAAGGTGACATAAC